ACATTTCAAAATCGGACCTCATTTACCAGAGATATTCAATAAAAATCATCAAAAAGTTTCGATTTTCGAACCGACCCCGAATTTGATAAAAAACGTGATGTAACCCCTTGCCATTTTGATGATTTTGGTCAAAAATTAGATTTTTATTTTTTTGATGCCAATCGATAGTACTGATCCTTACGAGTCGAAAATGGTATAAAATTCCCAAATCGAACACTATTTGGCCGAGATATTCAAAAAAATCATCAAAAAAGGTTGACTTTACAAACGAATCGGTTTTTGGTCAACCACTTTTTTTAACCCATCGATTTTTAAAATGTTTGAATGCAGATTGATAGTAGGCATCCCTACGAATTCAAAAAGGTATAACATTTCAAAATCGGACGGCATTTACCAGAGATATTCAATAAAAATTATCAAAAAAGTTTCGATTTTCGAACCGACCCCGAATTTGATAAAAAACGTGATGTAACCCCTTGCCATAACATTTCAAAATCGGACCTCATTTACCAGAGATATTCAATAAAAATCATCAAAAAAGTTTCGATTTTCGAACCGACCCCGAATTTGATAAAAAACGTGATGTAACCCCTTGCCATTTTGATGATTTTGGTCAAAAATTAGATTTTTATTTTTTTGATGCCAATCGATAGTACTGATCCTTACGAGTCGAAAATGGTATAAAATTCCCAAATCGAACACTATTTGGCCGAGATATTCAAAAAAATCATCAAAAAAGGTTGACTTTACAAACGAATCGGTTTTTGGTCAACCACTTTTTTTAACCCATCGATTTTTAAAATGTTTGAATGCAGATTGATAGTAGGGATCCCTACGAATTCAAAAAGGTATAACATTTGAAAATCGGACAGCATTTACCAGAGATATTCAATAAAAATCATCAAAAAAGCTCCGATTTTCTTTTTTGATGACCACTTTTTTTAACCCATCGATTTTTAAAATGTTTGAATGCAGATTGATAGTAGGGATCCCTACGAATTCAAAAAGGTATAACATTTGAAAATCGGACAGCATTTACCAGAGATATTCAATAAAAATCATCAAAAAAGTTCCGATTTTCGAACCGACCCCGAATTTGATAAAAAACGTGATGTAACCCCTTGCCATTTTGATGATTTTGGTCAAAAATTAGATTTTTATTTTTTTGATGCCAATCGATAGTACTGATCCTTACGAGTCGAAAATGGTATAAAATTCCCAAATCGAACACTATTTGGCCGAGATATTCAAAAAAATCATCAAAAAAGGTTGACTTTACAAACGAATCGGTTTTTGGTCAACCACTTTTTTTAACCCATCGATTTTTAAAATGTTTGAATGCAGATTGATAGTAGGGATCCCTACGAATTCAAAAAGGTATAACATTTGAAAATCGGACAGCATTTACCAGAGATATTCAATAAAAATCATCAAAAAAGTTCCGATTTTCGAACCGACCCCGAATTTGATAAAAAACGTGATGTAACCCCTTGCCATTTTGATGATTTTGGTCAAAAATTAGATTTTTATTTTTTTGATGCCAATCGATAGTACTGATCCTTACGAGTCGAAAATGGTATAAAATTCCCAAATCGAACACTATTTGGCCGAGATATTCAAAAAAATCATCAAAAAAGGTTGACTTTACAAACGAATCGGTTTTTGGTCAACCACTTTTTTTAACCCATCGATTTTTAAAATGTTTGAATGCAGATTGATAGTAGGGATCCCTACGAATTTTAAAAGGTATAAAAACTCAAAATCTGACAAAATTTACCAGAGATATTAAAATTCTTGTATTCTTGTAGATATTCTTGTACTTCACGTCTAAGTTATATTTTACATCGAAATTTTTTTCTGTTCATTTTAGTTTCGGGATGAGAATCTTCCCCCAAAAGGTTTTTACTCGATTGGATGGTAAACAAAACGCCGGGTTCCGCCCACTTTCCATAGTTGCGAGTGAAATTGCCAAAATTACCTTGAAAACAGGTTTGGGCTCTGCGCTGATTACCAACCAGACAGTCAGTCAGGACACAAAGTTTTGTATATATCTGAGTTTAATTTTTTCAAGTTTCTACAATCCGTTGTTTTGATCTCAATCTCCCAATAAATTACATTTAGTAGTTCTATGAACAGTCCTAATTGAGAAGTGTTGTTGTTGTTAAGCTATCTCACTTTTAAGGAGATTAATAAAAATTATACTTAATTACACATTTATTTTTTAATGATAATAAAAAGCGCTTCATCACAAAGGTAGAATTTTGTTAATGTCTATACGATAAATAACCGAGCTTAAAGATACAACGCACTTAGATGCTAATTATGGGACGCTAGAATGTCTAGCTACCATAAGGTGCTGGGAGTTATGGGTGGTAGGTGGTTACCACATCGCGGAAAGTTCGGGGGAACAGGCGGAAGATCCTTGGGAGTGCCAATTTGAAATATCAAATTCATGCCAATTACGATGTGGTATTGGAAATGACAATGAAACAGCCAGAACCCAGGATTGTCTGCCCGAAATCGTAAAACCGCATATCCATTATTTGGCACGGCAACTGTGTCCTTTAGCGCCGGCTTAATATACTGTCGCTCCAGCATACCGCGTTGATCTAGGTCCAGTGCATGTTTCAGGTTCATGCGTTTAATATTTGAGTCCGGCGAGCGTCCCAAGCCAAGTACATAGAAGGAAGTGCCGTGCAGATGGAAGGGATGACTTATGTTGATCTGCTGCACCTCGTCCACTAAGACAACTTCAACGATTGCGTTCAATGGTATGTCTATCTTGTGCGTGCACTGACAGTTTTCGCCGCAATCTGCGGGTCTATTGTCGCCGTTGCAGTAGTATTCCTCGGGAATGTCCTTGTACTGAGACAGCATTGGAGAAGGCGGCGATACGTAGGAGACCTCATCAATTAGAGAAATAAGGTGGTCCGCATCAGAAGCGACTATAGAACGAAAGGGTTAGTGCATTTGACTATGACACTCTGTTAGCCTAGGCCGCAGTGCCCCTGATGCGAGCTGGCCTTGGAACAGTTTTTTGCATCGTATTTTATGGTTAACATTAGAAGTTCCTTCTATTAAAGGTTGATAACATATATGTGGATATATGTGTGTGGATAAGTGAACACATAAACGTAAATATATATGGTAAGTACATACACATTAACAATAATATAAATATAAACATAAACATAAACATAATATAAACACAAGCATAGACCTAGTTTGCCCAGTGATAGGCGATATCACCCTTCCAATCAATGCAGTTCAGTTAAAATCGAAACATTTCTTGCTATTGCACATTAAACAATAATTATTAATTAGTGGTTAATAAATAAATTAAATCGTTATTGTGGTGGAAATGATTAACGAGGGCCACTAACTGATGCTGCTAGTTAATACCAGGTTACGGGTGGTACGTGATCACCGCAACGGGGAAAGCGCGGCGGCACGGGTGGCAGGTCGGCTTGTGTGCCGATGTGAAAGACCAGATTCATGCCGATGACAATGTGAAAAAGGAAGTGACAGTGGAACAGCCAGTAGCCAGGATTGTCGGCTCGAAATCGCATCACCACATATCCGTTATTGGGCACAGCGATTGTATCCTTGAGCGGAGGCTTGGAGAAGTCGCGTTCAAGCATTCCCATGCGATCGAGCTCCAAAGCATGCTTAAGATTAATTTTTTTAATTGACTTGTCCGGTGACCGGCCCAGCCCTACAACGTAAAACGCCGTACCATGCAAATGGAACGGATGACTCAGGTTCACCTGCTGCACTTCGTCGACCAGAACAACCTCAACAATCGCTCCCAGAGGTATGTCGACCATGTGCGTGCATTCGCAGTTGGGTCCACAGTTGGGCGGCCGATTATCGCCGTTGCAAAAGTACTCGGGCGGTATGTCCTCGATTTGTGACAGTGGCGGAGCCGGCGGTGATATGTAGGATATTTCGTCGACGAGAGAGGTTAGGTGGTCACCGCTAGGCACAACTAAACATGTGTGTGTTGGTAGCGATCAGTTTGTTGAGTTGACCCATTGCAAGCATAGGTAAGTTTAGTACATGAGCGTAAGTATACAAAAAGGTAGTATGTGTTAGTTTGGGCAAAGCAAATGAGTTTGGTTAGCGAACAGTCAATTGCCACTCTCGTTAATGGTTACGTACCCAAAAATCTGTTGTACGTATTGGGTATAAAAAGCGTTTTCGGCTCGTAAACATAGAATCTGAAAGGCAAAAAGATTTTCACATCGGGTCTCTCAACCAACACGCTTTTGTCCACTTTTTTCGCGTTCTTTAAATTCGACACGCAAATCGCATCGGGTCGCTTGCGATCACAAATGGCATCCAGCGGGTTGAGTATCTGTGAACAATTTTAAATTATAAAAAAAAAAACTATTAGGTAAGCATTTTATTATTCAGATGAGTTTGTGCACGCAATTACTGTGATTTAAAGAAAGTATTCGAAAAGATCTGAAAAAAATAGTTTATTGTCGATGTTTATTGTGTTCATATACATACAATGGATACATCTATGGCTATATAAGAGGCTGTATTAAAATAAGAGTGCTCTAGTCGACTGTACCGACTAGGAGATACCCTGTATCCGGTATTGTTAATTCATGCTTGAATAAATTCTGTTTTTATTGTCAGATTTTTATAAAATGTTGAGGGCCCTATATTGCCATCCAAATGTGTGTATTCGATATACAAACGATTTTTTATAGGAAAAATAATACAAAATGTATGTATGCATACGGGAATTTATTTATATTCCGGATTTGCTGCCCGGCGTATACAGCGGACAGACGAAAGACAGGCGGATTGGTTTGACAGAGGATCGAGATTGAGCTCGAATATGCCTCTTTTTCCAAAATCATTTTCTATGGGTACAGGGTATCAAGAAGGTGAGAGATTGTGTAAATGGAAATGAAATCGTGGAACTATTTTAATTTTTCATATTTTATTAAAATTGATTTAAACAATAAATATAAATTTAACGGCAGTTAATTGGGTTGTATCGTAATTCAAGCTATACAAATCTCTAGATTTTCCAGTTTATATAAAATTATATATATATTGATTGCATTGTGTTGGAAATGTACAAGTTTTATGTCTGGCATACATATGGTATTTATTTTATCAATTACAAATGCACGTTGTATCGTTTTTATTGATTTGCAGCTAGTATTAAATATGACTGGGAGAGGCCAATCAGAGTATATTTCATAAAATAGACCCTAGGCATTACATAAGTAAGTAGTTTAAGCATAATATATATTTGATTTTTACAAACATTTTATGTACATTAATAATTATTTATAGCTTTATTCATTTAATTGATTTTTACATGTATTTTAAATTTACACAAAGTCAAACTTAATCCAAATGCAAACCGGAAAAGTTAAGCTTTGCATAAAACTAGGCACCAGCGTGTGAATTATTGGTCCTATATACATACATTAGTTAAATATACATACATCAATTTTTTGTACATACATATACGTATGCATCCACATACATACACATATTACAAAAAAAAACACTCGAGGAGTGGAGCTAGTCCATGTTTCGGTTACATTTATCAGAAACGGATCGCCACAGGAAAACAAATGTTTTTTAATTGATAAAAACAAACAAAAAAAATTGAGACTAAGTCCAAAGTTCAAATTGAATTTCTGGGAATATTTATGGCTGCTCCAAACATCATACTACTATGATTGTTAACATTTTTATACAGATTATCATTCATTGCTCTAGTACATCTGTGTGCACTATGCGGGCTTTTTTTTTTAATTATAGAGTGCAGGAAGGGAGAGATATTGCTTGATGCAATTTTTAGGGTAGGGCGCAAGAGGCAATGTGCACCCAGAGGCAAGCTTTTGCGGAAGGCAGGTAATAATAAGTAGTATCATACAGGTAGGCAGTGATTACGGTTTTTATCAAGGATTCTGTGCCAAGTTGGGGGTAATTTACAACAAATACATATATATACATACATACATACTTATTGTGCTGTCTCTAAAACTTTGTACAAACTGGTCGTTCTGTAGGCAGGTCTTCTTCGCTTTCAGTATTTGTTTTTGTGCGGTGTTCTTCTAGTTAGAGCCGTTGCATTAGAGCCTAGCTTAATTAATGGGAATGGGTGGAGTGTGATCGCCACATGTCGGAAAACCTGGCGGCACAGGCGGTAGATCGGCATTGTTGCCGACTTGCAGTATTAAATTCATACCAATCACGATGTGGAATAGGAAATGACAGTGGAAAAGCCAGAAACCTGCCAAATAAACCACGGTTATAATACACAATTGACAACTATTTGCAAATTTTATTTACCGGGATTATCAGCTCTAAAGCGGAGCACCACATATCCATTGTTGGGCACCGCAATGGTATCCTTTGTTGGCGGCAGATTATACTGCCTGTGCAAGAGACCGCGTCTGTCCAGGTCAAGCGCATGCTTCAAGTTGATCTTCTTCACAGTCGAATCCGGCGATCGGCCGATACCGATCACACTGAATCCGTAGCCGTGCAAATGGAAGGGATGTGACAGGTTCGGCTGTTGGACTGCAATTTGGTTGGGATATTAGTAACAGGACGATATTTGCCATAATAAGTCAAGAACTAACCCTCGTCCACCAATACGACCTCGACAATCGCATTAAGAGGTATGTCGATCTTATGGGTGCACATACAGTTGGGTCCACAATCGGCGGGACGGTTGTCGCCATTGCAGAACTGCTCCGGGTTGATTTCATTATACTGCGAGGTGAGCGGGGCCGGCGCGGATAGATAGGATATCTCATCAATGAGGGAGATGACATGATCGCCAGTTGGAGCCACTGAAATTTCATTCGGGTAAGTCTCACACACAACTATTCAGGTAAGTTTTGGTTGTGCTGTTTACCCAGGAATCGGTTGTAGGTGTTCGGTTGGAAGAGATCCTCAGCACGGTAGACGAAGAAACGGAATGGCAGGAAAATCTTAACGTCCGGTTTCTCAGCAAGGATTCCACGGTCTATTTCGAGTGCATTTTTCAATTGACTTACGCAAATGGCATCGTTGCGTTGACGATTACATTGAGCGTCCAGGGGGTTCATGACCTTTTGTTATGTTAGTTTACGTCACAATGTCAGTCGTCAGAATGCAAAGAGGATTGTTGTGTTCATATATACATGTGCAGGATAGCCACGTTTGAATTGATTGTGTGGTAGAATGTTACATTGCGTGGAGGTTTTTTTTTTTTGGGCGGGGTAAGGTTTTTGAAAGAGACAGAAAAAAGTATTAAGATATGCATTTTCTATATATTTACAGCGTACGTATTTACAAATCCACAACAAAATCATTATTCATATATAATACATTGTACTTACACTCAGGATATCTATGCACTTGGCATTAGAGTAATGCGTTGAGCTAACTCTCGATATTGACAATATCAGAAAAGTGGACGATTTGTGACACCATACTATAAATCGTGCTCATATTTCTACTTGTGCCCAATCAATATACCTCGATTAAAACTTTAAAGATTTTAAAACCTAAAATGCCGAAAGTGCATTTATTTTGTAAAAATTATGCATGTTGATTTCATGCCAGCGAAGGATCTATTAACTAATAGAATAAAATACTGCATATTTAGCATCTCAGGCTTTTAAGATTGTTATTCTTATTAACTGCTTTGGGCCTAATTACGAATTCGTGACACTCGAGAATGAAATTAAAGTGCTATTACCTAGTATTTAAGCTGTAAATATACAGTCAAATCGAACTATTAGTGAAGCATGGTTCAATGAAGACTCACATTACCGAGCTCTGCACTGTTGTCGGTCCTAAAATCGATGAACATATTGGAATAATAGGAATAGCGCAACTTACCACACCCTGCGGAATGCCGACATCGTAGGTCGGAGGCGCCGAGGCTGGCTGATAGGGACCTCTAGCATAGCGCAGAATAGCTAGCTGCTGTGCTCGACGGATACCGCACTCGCCGAGACCTCGCAGCTGGATCCAGTATGCGCCCACGGGTTGATCGGCCGTGATGATGAAGTCATACCGCTCGCCTATACGCAAATGGTTATTTGGTGCTCTGCAGGGGCATTTTATTGTGGGGACTTACCTGAAAAGGAGATGATTGTGTTGACGTTGACCGGATGCACAGACTCGCCGTCGGTTGCAATTACTGTCATGCCGTGGCCTTCGATGGTCACCTGCGCTGGGCACACCGAGGCGAAGGCATTGATCATGCGGAACCGATAGCGCCGGCCGGGTGTAATCGTGAATATTTCGAGCGGCGTGTTTGTCATGAAACCAGTGTTGGGATCACGGAACTGGCCTTTGCCGTTGATCAGCATGGATTCCGGATCTTGGCCGGTGTTGACGGCCAGGCGTCCGGGGTACCGCTCCGCAGCATCCTCATGCAGCCAGTCGCTGATGAGCATTATGTGCGTGGTCAGATCGAAGTCGTACAGGTGCGAGTTGGGATCGCGCGAAGGAGGCTGTCGCACTACCACGCTGCCGTAGAGACCATCAAGCTTCTGTAGACCCGTGTGGGAATGCCAGAAATGGGTGCCCGCATTGCCCGTCCATTGGTACCGGAACGTGTTGCCCTGCTGAATGGGGCACTGCGTGACGAAGGGCACACCATCGTAGTACTGCGAGCCGCGCTGCCAGATTCCGTGCCAGTGAATGGTTACCTCCATGCCCTCCATGTGGTTCTCCACATCAATGACAACCTTATCGTTTTCGCACACCTGTATACTGGGGCCCGGTATCATTCGGTTCGCTGTCAGTATTCCACGCTCAACACCATCGGCCAAAACGCACTGACAGTGACTCCAAACGGTGTTCGTCGCGTTCGGCGTGCACACCTGACAGGCACTGTAAGAAAATTAAGTGGTGAAAATGGAAGATGGACGCTCAATGACATGTTAAATATGAATATATATGTTCGTAATTTAGTTAGATGAAACAGAAAGAATGGATCGGACTGGATCTCGCGAATCCTACGACTATATGCTAAGACTAAGACTAAGACTATGCTAAATAGTTTCGACTCCGAGCAGAATACCCTGTAATGCTTGTTATAATCATCACAGAGAAACCTGAACCTTTCCAGTCTAACCTCTGAATAGTTGATAATGTATATTGTGCGTGTGCATTTCCAACCGGACTGCTAATATAAGGAAACTCATTGAAACCAGTTTGATTTGTGTTGATTTTTGGGTGTGTGACGCCTAATGACATATTTAATATGAATATATATTCATGGTTTAGTTATGTGATACAGGAAGAAACTGGATCAGACAACTCTTTGAAATCCTTTGCATTCTAACCTCTGAATAGTTGATAATGTATATTGTGCGTGTGCATTTCCAACCGGACTACACTAACATAAGGAAACTCATGGAAACCAGTTTGCTTGATTTGTGGTTCTATGCAAGTAAAAACAATATTTGCTAGCGAGGTTATCGAACTGTCCACAACTGTGTTTTGCAAAAAGCTGGCTCTACGGATCGTACTAAGCGTTGTGGCTTTGAAGCCTGAGAACACCGGGGCAACAGCTGGAGCCCGTAACCGGAGCTGCTGAATATGTTTACTTTTGCGCTGCGGCACAACTGCATATCGTTCAGCATTTGCTTTGTTTTTGCAGCGTGCCGAGCTCTTTGTCTGGCATATTATGGAAATACAGCACTTATGGCGTGGGAATCAAGTGTATGTATCTAATGTGTGTGTGCTCCACGAACATATCACGCTCACTGTCTCTCTGGGCTATGGTCGGTTGCTTTGGGGTTTTTTATGAAGTTTGCTTTTTTCCTGGTGCTTTAATTTGACTTGGATTTGTTGACAAATACGCATTTTTAATTGCCTGTATGTTTGTATTTTCCCTGTGACCTGAACTTCCATTGATTGTACCAAAATGTGTTAATTTATAGTTTTGGTACCAAAGATATCAACTGCTGCGGACAGGCTTTTCTTTTATTTTCATTTTTTTTTTTTAAGCCTTGATTGGATTTCTGGTTATGAACCGTCAGGTGATCGTCAGACTTTCAAATTAAACTTTTTACACAGCCTGCACATTTATGTTTGTTATATAATATATATATATGTATGCATATATAATTTGCACATATGTACGGGTTTTACTGGTCTCAGTGATTGTGTGAGGACTTACGCTCCAAGCACCGTGTAGTACTCCAGCGTGAAGTGGTAGTAGCAGATCCTGGGCGGCTCGCCCTCGCGACATGCGCGCGCGCACTCATCCGGGGCAGACAATGCCGGATTGCGACGCAGCTCGGCGGTGGCACTTGTAGAGAAATCCAGATGACGGAACGGCGATTTGGGATTGGGCTCGACAACGGTGCCGCTAATCTTGGGCGGATACCGAGCGGAGCTGGGCAGATTGCCGCGCGAGTTGAGATAACCGCTGCCAGCGGTCAAGGATGGATTGCTATTGACAGGGGCAGCACCACTGCCCAGGGTATTGCTGCTAAGGGGCACCGGACGTGGTATGCCAGCGCCCAGTGAAGGGTGCGTCTGCACAAGGCCATGCGTCGCCGAGTAGAAGGGCGAGTCGAAGGGCGTCGAGCTGCTGGGTGTGGCCACATGCTGCTGCCAGTAGGAGCCGGCCGACGCTTGATCCGGCTGTTTGTCTGCAAAAGTACAACAAAATCAAATAAATAAATAATACAAAAAAAAAAAATAAATAAAATAACAAAAGACACAAAAAATTGGTTAATAAATACGTTTTTGTTCACTTTTTGAACTTGGTGATTTTCAATTAATTTCTTAAAACTCGGTTTGGGGGCCCAGTACTTCATCAAAATCGTGCCCAGCTACATTTTAAATTAAGTGCAAATTGGCCACAGTTTCTGTTTCTGTTACTGTTGCTGTTACTGTTAGTGTTACTGTTAGTGTATGTGTATGTTGTTGGTTTTTCTCTGCTCGGCTTTATGCAATCGCAAGAGTTCAATCAGCTCAACGATGACGCAATGCCGCGAGGTGAGCGATTCGAGTAACTAATTAAGTGCAAAACTCTTGTGTGTTTGCTTTTAAACTAGAAGCAACACCAATTGGCAAAAACTTTTAATGCCAATTTTGATTTTATTGTTTTTGTTGTTGTTGTGTCATAGCAGTGTCATATCTGTGCGTACATATATATGACGAAATATATTTTATTTGGCACGCTCGTCTGTAGAAAAACACAAAAGAATTGTGTGTACTTAAAATATGCAGTACCTGCAATCGGGCAATCCCATCATTAAAATAGTTGACAAAAGGCTCGTAACAAAAGAAAATATTTAAATAATAATAATATAATATTTAATTTGTATTGCTTGCAAGATCCTGTCCTGCTACACCCCCAAGCCCTCGCATGCGTCATTTTTTAATTGCAATTTGTATATGCTCTCACCGAAAACAATTTGCTTTGAAACAAATGATTTAGGCTACGAACTTGATCTGCCGCGTAATTGCTTCGTACGTGATCTGCATTTTAGGCAAACAATTAATTGATGTGATATTATTTTAAAAGAATGCCCTACTTTTACACCGGACACATTTTCCCATTTTGCGACTAACGAACGGAACATTATAAAATAAAAAAGATATGTATAGCTATTCTTATATTAACATACAAACTGCTCATTCGAAGAGATAAACTGATCTGTTCTCACGATTTTGGTTGGAGTTGACCAGTTGCTGACCATTTGACTCGTAACTTGTCAACTCGTTGATTTCTGTTTGTCTCTGGGGCTTTTGAAAACAAAAATTAATTGTCTTACTGATTCGTGGTTTCCTATAAATAGCCGGCAAGCAGTTAACTGTGTAAGTATGCTAACCCACATCTGTTGGCCTAGTCTTGTAGTCTTTGTACCGCAAAGTACGGTGGGTAGAGTCGTGAATTATATAAAAATTATTGGCAGCCCAAGCCAACTGTTCTCTTTTGTTATATTTAATTGTGAATAAGGTCTCACGTCGACAATATTACATGATTACATGATATTTTTTAAGACCAGGCAGCTCTAAAGCCAAAAAATACATTTTCTTTGATTTGTCTTGATCGGCAAGAAAAAGTCAAATTGACTCAGTTATTAAGACTTAAATAATTTAAGAAATCAGAGATTTTCTTTCTATATATACCAACGACATTTAAATTTCCCAATAGTCCTTGATCTTAAAAAAGGCAGAGAAATAATTATTGTCGTAACATGTTTCCACAAATGTTCGCGGGCAAGTTGAAGTCCAAAATGGATATCGAGCGAACGGTAGCTAAATAATTCCAAGCACACAGATATTTCCAAATTAGTATTGTAAACATTTTAAAGAATTCGCCAGTGTTGTAAATAACATTAGCATAGAACTTTGGTGCCGAAATGGTGTGAAATATTTTCAATGCAAGGTCACATCGCCTTCCAAAATATGCTCTTAATGACTTTTCCGGCCCCAACTAAGTAGTTAGCGGCAAGAACTCCGTCTCACCGTCGCACCGTCGCACCGTCGCTTGGCATTGGCCAAATGTGGCAGACTTCAAATAACGTGGGTGTGTGTAAACAATTGTTGCATGGCCTACATATTGTTTGTGAAATATAAATTGCTTGCAAACTAAGTATTATATATTATGTATATATTGTGTATATATATATTTAATATATAATTTTTTTTTTAACTTTTATAATTTGATATATTGAATAATTCGAAATAAATAAATAAAAGTTAATTTGTCTGCCTAAACATATACATATTTGTGAGACTATTGTAGGTTTAATAGATTTTATACTTGGAAAGTAGACTGATTAACCGTTGTATTTAGCATTAGTTATTTAATACACTGAAAGAACCTTTCGACTCATAAAAAAATACACTGTTATATATGTTACATTTACGTTTTTTCTTTGATACACCTAAGAACCTGTCGACTCATAAAAAAATACCCTGTTATATATGTTACATTTACGTTTTTTCTTTGATATGCCTAAGGTCGTGTCCAATCAAGTTGGACTCATTTGTTTTAATGGAATTTGGGTTCAAATCTATTGCGGCAGCAACCTTGGTTCGAATTACATTTGTAGCAACGCCCGAGCAATCGTCCATTTTACGATTATGTAAATTATTCCGTGAAAATTACTTTTAACCGCTGCTCTGTATCTAAGTATATATTTGTATATGTATATGTATATAAAAAATTTAATGGGTTTGCAGCAGTAACTCGCGTATAGAACTTGGGTAACCTCATATTAACGACTGGAAACATTAAAAACAAGTGAAAGTGAAAGAAATAAGCCGAGAACGGAATGCCAGGCTAGAAGATACTGTACACTGTTTGGCAAGATACATAAGTAATTATACGATATTGAATGTGCTATTTGTTAATAATATACCCTTATTGTAAGATGAATATCTCTATACATAAAACTGTTTGTTCCGTTTTGAAATTTGTGTTTTATTTAACTTATAGAAACGCGGAAAAAACGTTGCATACAAATTATTTTCTTTATTTGGTGAGCTGTTTCATACTTCTTGGAATTAAATTAGATTTGGAGGATGGAGACTACAGCTTAAGTTTAAAGGGATCTAAGTGAACATTTATTTGAGACGTATTTTACACTTTTCGGAAATCCAGGTGTGAAATTTGCTACAAGCTTAATTAAAAAGGTTTACATGAATATGTGCTTCAGAGATTTTTGGAAATTCCAACGGAAACTTACCTAACAATCTGATAGGCATTAAAATCACTTTCAGAGATCTAATCGATTTATAGAGTCTAAAAATAATTATTGGTATCAAAATGAAATGAAATGTATAGAAATCATACCAAATTTAAGTTGCTAAGTTGTCTTGTAGTCTATGAGAAAAAAGTAAACTAGAAAAATCCCCATGTAGAAACAATTGCTGGGAAATTTAATTTACTTGTATACTCTGTTCACCAAGTGAAACAGAGAACATTGATTTTGAGCATTTTCCGCTCTGGTGAACATATTTTTTCGGCTCCACAACTTAGACTTTATTTACAAGGGTCAATAAGTGCATAAATATGATAATGTGTGTACCTGAATATGTACATATGCATGTATTTTTCTTTTCTTGACCGTTTCACTTTTCACGCTAACTGTCGAGAGAGCTGTGCGAAAAAGCGAAAATAAATTTATTTATGCATAAGTGTGTGTGTGTGTGTGTGTGTGTGTAGGGCATAATGATCAAAAACAGAGCCAAGTCGACGGCATTAACGATCTCTATTTATTCATTTGTGGATACTCTGGCAAACTGCCTGAAATTGATTAACGTTTTACTATTGCAGCCCGCTGCTTTAGCGGTGCTTGTTGTCATCAGGTGGCAGCAACCAGCAGAAACAGAAACGGCAATAGAAACAAGCCAGCAGCACTTGCACAGACACACACACACACACTTACACACAGATGCAATTGTAGATATACACCTGCAAGTGTGCACATACACCTGTGTAGTATGCATATGTAGACATATGCACGCGTTGGCAATCAGATTTAGTCACTCGCTGCCATTGCGACTGGCTGATATCTCGAGTTGATTTTGCCTCACTTTCACAATGGAACCGAAAACTCAACTAACTGTTGGATAATTGGCGACACTAAAGCAGCAACGCGCTCTCAGCCAATGGAGCAATAAATTAATTAGCTCAGCACCGACATCGAGCAATTACACAAAGTCGTAGCACAAATCCGTCTTGCCAACTTTTATGGAAGTGCATCGAAACAAGGCGGCGATTAGGGGAAATCGCCAGCGGCAGCCTTTAAGTTTCCAGATAGATTGCGTAGACATTATTACCATCAGCTAAATTGAAGGAGCTTATATTATGCATGTAAATGTACTCATAAGAAATACTTCTAAATCATATAAGAAAATTATGCATTTATATATAGATATGTACTATATGTAAGATCCCTGAAATATATTTATGTCTAAATCATGTGCAGATTGAACTACTTATAAACGGATGAACTATTATAGGTCACATTAGAACGGTTACAGAAAATTTATTTTATATCCTTTGAAAAACGTGTTTCTTAGATTATTTATATGTATATAATATATATATTATGTATATGCAAAGGTATATACATATATGTAATTGGTTGAAATCAAATCGTTCTTATACGCTGAAGCCATTAAAAATGGATAAAAATAGGTATAATAGTTTTGTGGAAGTCTATGTAAAAGGCAGATGATAGCACCTCCGACCACATAAAGAATATATGTTATTGATCAGCAGCAAAGCCAACTTTTATCTCCGTATATAGCTAGGAACTAGAAATTTGGACAGAAGATTTACTGTCAGCATAAATCGGTTTTTTTTTTCAAATGATCTATAACTATCTTTATCGATCAGAAAATTTAGCGTATTCGCAGTTTATTAAACTAAATACGTCAAATGTATTATGTAGACTCTTGTATAGAAGAAAGCTGGAATGTATCTTCTAAGCGAGGCCTCCCGACATGTTATTATTTGTGGACTTCTAGCTGAGTCGTGGCTCTTAGTTGTGTCAAAAGATAGAAGTAGAGTAGTATAAGATAGATTTCTAGTAATAAGCAATTATCGTTAGTCTGATTTGGGATGCTGAGCAGAGCGGACATTGAGAAAACCGTGGACTCAAGAATTCATTGAAAGAAAGAAATA